TTCCTGCTTGATTGTTTTGGTATTATTGTGAACTAGTAGTGATTGTTAGCCCTCATAAAGACTTACTTAATAGGGAAAACTTCTGTCAAAGCTGCTGCCCAGTTTCATCCACCAACTTGAAATGTGCTCTTGCTCCTAACTGTTGGACAGATGTATTTGCTACTTTGAAAAACTTAACTACCTGGAGTAAAACTCTTTGGGATTTAGTAAGATGCATTGTCAATGTATAAAAACCCAGTCTTTAGATATCACTCTTCATTTTGTAACTCTGTTCTATCTTTTTGGTTGAATATAGTTTCCTTTTGCATTAATGGTACGTATAGCATTGCGTTCTTGGTCACTTGTATATCATAAAGAACAGAATTCAGGAGGACTCTCCTTTCTCTGTTATTCAAAATGAAGATAATTAATGTGGATGAATAGATTATTTTTGTTTGATACTGGGGATATAATGCACTGAATAATGTTTTGATGAATCAGCAAAGTACTATCAGGGATCGGGCATTAAATCAAATTAGGAGTATGGAGCTCCACAGTATTGTGATTCATACTTTTCTCAGGAGCTGCTAACAATACATTACTTTATAACACAAGGAAGAGGGCAAGAAGAGATTAAATGTTTAGGATCACAGATGTAATCTGAATTTCTTTCTTAAATCATTAAAGGGTAGCTCTTAAAGAATAATTAGGATTAAAAAGTAACTTACAGTTATGAAACCATAGCAATAAAGATGATAAAACTTGTATGTCTGAATTCTACGGGCCTATAGCCTACCTGCTGTTCAAGTTGAAATTGGTGAGAGTATGGGATAGTGAGCACCATACTCTTGAACACCCAACCAGCCTTCATGAACCGCAGCAGCTCCCAGTTCTCGTGGTTCTCATATTCAAGAGAAAGCATAATTTTGGCTGCTCTTCTTCGTTTCACATGGACTCAGTGGCAGTAGCTGGGCACTGACATAAGGACAGGCTTGATTATTAGGCTGTGTGAGCTAGATGGCCATTGCTTCTTCCTTCAACACAAAATGCAGGTTAGATGGAAACATCCTTTGGGATGTTAGTGTGATTGTGCTGAGTGTACAAGCTTAAAGTGATAATTATGTAACTATTTTTTTGCTGAAGGAGAAGCTTTTCAATTAGGTTCTTATCTGAATTAACAGGGTGAAACAGCACTGGGAGAAATTTGAGCTCAGCTGGAAGAGATGGCTAATAAGAATGTGTAATGCAGATGAACTGCAAAAATATTTGTAATCTCTCATTTTACTTGACTAAGAGAGTAGGTTCAAGTCACCTGTATTCTAGGAAATGCACATGCCGTTATTTCTGGCTATCATCCTGTTTTTAATCTGTCCATATGCCAGTTCGATGATTAAAAGAATAGGTAAATTAGATTTCCTGGCAGTGGATCAAAGTTTACTCTAATGAGCATCCCACCACATTCCTGAAATGCCTGTTTAATAGCCAACTGCTGAATATTGTTTTTAACGAAACTGACTAAAATATGAAGATTGTGATGACAACATTAAATTGAGACTAGAATTGAAGACTTTAACGGAGAGAAATATAGCCTAGAACTATAACAAGATCACTTTTTTTATAAGTATAAAAGAGAAGAAATTTATACTGCTGACAAAATTGGAAAGGACATGTTGAATGCAAAATGATAAAAGATCAAAGGCAAGTCTGAGGAAGGATAATTTTTGCTACTCTGTGTGACAAAGCATGAAGCTTAATGAAGTAATTTCTTGGTATTTTAAATAATTACTCTTTGAAACAGGTTATGAATATAAGTTTTTGTAGGCAATTCTAGTTCTAGAAACTAGCTATATTTTAAAACTATTTTAAGCAAAATAGTGACTGAAGAATAATGGGAAGAATAGCCCCATGGTGATTTATCTTATTTTGCCCACTCTTAATTTGAGCAATCTGAGCCCATCCAGCAAGCTCATCATACCCACATGAAAATGTACAATTTGTTTGTGCTTTTTCACATAAATGGGAGGCTGAGGGGGGTGAGACACCTGTTTAACAATTAATTAGCAAAATTTTGAACTTTGTTAACTTACCAGAGTCAGTATTCTGTGTTTCTTGCTGTCTTTTCTTGGTGACTATGGAAGATTTTTTAATTATTCCTCTGAGAGCTGTAGTAGTCTTGAGGCCCACTAGCCTTTCTTCTGTATCTGTTTCAAGGTCTTCTCGAATGTACACTCTGACTTAGAGATGCCAATATATCTTTGCACAATACATGTAGACCTTGTTTAGGTTTCATATCTGTAAATTTAAGAGTGGTGGTACTTTCTTGCTTTCTAGATGCATGCATTAGAAGACCTGTTAGAATTTTGCTTAATTTTTTGCTATTTTATCTGCTTAGTCAAATAGAAGCAGTTGGATTAAAGGCATGGCCAACTTTACACACTCATGTGCTGAAGAGTCGGAGCGTCGTTAGAAATTGAAATATAACTTTCTGATAATTTGTTTTATCATTAAGTAAATTGAATGGTTAATGGTTGATGTTTAACATTAACCTTAACATGCTTCTGTAGGTTGTAGATCATTCATTACATGAATTGTTCCTGCAATTAGTCTGAAGTGTCTTTTCCAAAGATGGGAAATCTTGAGACTCGCAGTTACGATGAAATAGCTGTAGTGATCCTGAGATCACTAAAGGCTTACATGATGTAAATAAATATAGAGTGAGAAGGGGGAAGTTTCAATAATCCATATACTCTACATCTTTAACAATATTGAAATCTGTTCATTATTTGTTTATTTCCGCCCCCCCCCCCCCCCGACACACCCCCCCCCATGGAAAGATACTTTGCATAATAAACCATCATAAGTTTTAACAAATGAATTTGTTGGAGTGGAACAGAATGAGGAAATGAATCATATTAGTTGCAGAGTAGTTGGTCACTTTGGATTTCATGTGTTTTCTTATTTAAGATTTGACAAAAGATGCCTAGAATTTTTCCTAGAATTAACAGATCTGGAAGGTATTTACTTGAACCAGCAAAGTCTATTTCTTTTATTGCATCAAAATCAACTAAAAGTTAATATTGTATTTTTAACACTTACCTATCTGTGGAAATAGTGATTTCTCTAAATTTATTTATTATTGCCTCTGAAAATCTTCAAAAGGGCAGCCTTTCTTCAGGTACTAGTATGGATAGGCTAATTGACTTACTGCAAGATGACTAAAACTCTCATGTCTTTCTCTACCTTTGCATTTCTATCACCAGAAAGATGTGCAGTTGTAATGCAGTTTAGCCTTTGTCTTTTGGTTTGATAGGCAACATTCCAGCTTTACATGGTTGTTTTGAAAACTCATAACTGAAGAGGAAATGAGGAGGATGGCAAGAGGAAAGTGTTTATTTAAAAATTGCCTGAAGCTTGTGGATGGTGAGAATGTTGCAAGACTGCTGCACAGATTACATTTAAAGAGGTTCAGAAAACTAGTACTTGAGTACTTGAGCTAGTGGTTCTGTGTTTAGGTGACAGCTAAACACTCGTTTCTACTGATGGCTATCTGTGTTTGGATACAGCATGCATCATAAAATTCAGTGCTGTCTTATCGATAGTACTTCCCCCTGAGTACTACTTATTTAATGGTTGAAGGGAAAAATGTAATAGAGATTACAGTATATTAACATACATACTTTTACAGTATAATAAAACTGTTAGAAAAATTTGTTCAGTAAGTGAACAAGAAAGTAACTACTTGGAAAAACAGTTTTCAAGTATTATGGCTGTAAAAGTTTGGCATCTGCCAAAACAGTACATGGAATCACGTGGAAACTAGTCCAAGCTAGAGAGGTGTGATGGATACAGAGTGGATGTGGGTACTCAGTACCAGCTCTTGTGTTGTACAAATCCACTCCTTTTGCAGCGCATTGCACCAAAGTGCCCTAGGCATTGAGAATTTTTTTGTGGACTAGCATTTATTTGCAAGCTCAAGTGTTGAGTAGTTCTAAAATTTGCTGGTTGAGTTTCACCTCTGTGAACTAGTCTTAGCTTTTTGAATAATTCTTGGACAAATAATTGGTATTGGCTAATCTTGGCTTTTCTTCGGTTTTAACTGCAGGATAGAGCAGCCAGTGTTAGGGAGGGAGTGTAAAATATAAAAGCAACTGGAGTTTCCTGTCTGAAGGAGAAGGAAAAAGGCAGCGAGGAAGACTGGAACTGCTACCTATCAGTGGAGAACAACAGGAGTAATAGAAAAGAGAATTGGAAAGTTCTACAATATACTAGCAGAAATTGAGAGTGAAAACAATTACTTAAATACAGCATTGTAGTGATAGAATTAAAAGTCTAGATTCAGTCCTTCTGAGCACAAGTCAGTATCTCCATCTGAATTTAAGAAACATAGTTTACTCTTTTGCCAAAGACATATTGGCTTTCTAGTGCTGTACTTTGCTTTAACAACTTTATAATGAAACAATTCTGAAGCATTCAAAGAGCACACCAGTGACTTGAAGTCTTGAAAGGTTTTGAAAGCTGTAACTGAATAAAAATTAGAATTTGTTCTTTGACCATGAACTGGTCCTAACCAGAATTTAAATAGTAATTCATATTTGATCGTGTCGTCTTTTATAAATGCAATCTCATGTTCTGTTCCTGCTAAAGTTTGTTGTTCTGCTCTGGATCATATTGTGTGATAATATCAAACATATGAAAGCTGCTCTTGAAGCACTTGCCTAGCTGTAAAGGTAACAGTGTTAAACATTGGTAATATACTGAATAAATTAAAAATAACAGTTTTAATTTACTTAATTAAACTCCTTTGGAAATACAGTAAAGTCCAATTTTGTGTTGACTTCTTGTAAACTGACCCTTCCATGCACAAATCTAAATAAAAAAAAAATTAACTGACCCTTCCATGCACAAATCTAAACTAAATAATAAAAAAAAAAGTTAACTTATACTGATGTGACTTGAATTCTTTATTTTAGCAGGAGCTAAAATCCATGAGAATAATGGCAGCCCCTTATCAGCTACAGCTCTGCCTGGTGACAGTTGTAGTGGAGAGATTTCACATAGCCGTACTTCTCTACCTCATCTTTGTTCTAGTCGAAATATCACATGTAGAACATCCCAAGTCAAAAAGCAAAGTGGAAATAGGCTGTTTACGCTTTAGCTTCTGCTTTGGAGACAAAGCTGAAAGGGAAATAGATGGGTTACAGTTATGGTGGTAGGGAAAAAGTGTCTTAAGAGGGTAGACGTATCACAGAGAAAAGAACAGAAATTCACCTATTTTTTTTCCTCTATTTTATAAAAATAGGCAATGAGGTGAGAGTAATGTTCATATGGTATGCAGGCATTTGGCTTCATCTTTAAAATGCTTATATAACTAAGTCGTAGTAGTTGCTTAGAATGTCTTAAATACCAATTTTAAAACAAGTCTACCTTAGATCAGTATTACTTTAGGATGATTGGCATCACTTTTAGAATTGGTGGAGAATCTTAAAACTTTAAGTATTCCATTCAGGTGACATCTCCTGGGTAGTCTGTCCTCTTACAAACATAAACTATGGACATAAATGCTGGCTGCAACCTAACTCCTCCTTAGCCACTTGTCCCTTAGAGCTATGAACCCAAATTTAAGTGCCTTACATGGGACTCTTAAAGTTTTCTTTCTAAAAATCTGCTTATTTTTCTGTGTCAAAGTTGCAGATTACAGCTATGTTTCACTACTCATCAAGAGATTTCGGATTTCTATGTAAGGAAAGATTTGTTCTCCATCAGCAAGGAAGAAGGGAAACAGAGTTCACAAAATAAAAGGTCTTCATTTCTAAGTTCTGTAGATCTTTGAGGATGAGGAAAAAATGGCCTTTCAAGCCCTATAAAGATTTTTTTGGTGCCCCTTTGAAATTCAAGTGTGCTGCGAGACCCACAAAGAGAGATCATCTGGTACTTATGCTTCAGTACCAAAGTGTCTGGAGTTCCACAGTGTCTGGACTGGACCGCTTAATCTTCAGATATCCTAACACTGACTACCTGATTAAAAAAAAAAAGACAATTTCAGTCTATTTCCCACTAGTAAGTCCCCTTTCCTGAAGGTACAGAGGAAAGGCTTCACAGGCTGTGTTGCTGAGCTCCTTTACTGGGCTGCCTTTGGAAATTATTCATGGACCGCCTTCTATGCTATGGAGCTCAGTGCCCAGAGTACCTCCTTTTGGTCATCAGTCTCACATACCTACTAGTATGTGAGTCATGTTATAACAGGGAGAGCTTGAAGGAGAGGGAAAAGTTCAGCATCGGAAATAGGGATTAGTGTTTCTCAAAACAGGAGGCTTGTTCGTTTGCCTACAAGTTTATGCTATTATTGTATGAGTGCAATTCAGTGAGGGATTCTCAGGGAAGGTATGGGACATACAGCTGGAGCTTCAGAGCTCAAGGTCAGAAGTTCTGATTGGTTTGTAACCTATCCTAGAATTGTGCCTTAAAAGCAGACTGTTACCTGCCTTCTGGGAATTGGAGCAATGTTATCCTCGTGGCGTGCTTGTTTCATTAACGGTTGTAGCAGTCAGTGGGAGTACGCTTGCACAATTTTGCATATCCTCAAAAAGAAGAAGATAAGTTTTGTTTGTTGTGAGGGAAAACTGACTTGGAAGTTTGCAGATCCTTAAAGATAGAACCTCAGGCATAATCTCTGTATTGGACAGGAGGAGTGGTCTAGACCTCTTAATCTGACTTTAAACCCTTATTTTCTATTAATGATTGTCTTCAAGATACACTGATGAGTGAAAAAGACAATACAATAAGCACAGATGCACAAAAGGAAGAAGAAATGTTTTGACAAGGGAAATACAGGAAACCTCATTGTCTGAGCTTCAGTAAAATTATGTTTGAAGTGTCAATTTAAAAGCAAAAATATGGCAGTGCAAGAATAACAAAGTGAATGCAATACTCTATATTCAGGATACAGCAGCTGATATTTACCTTTCTATTTTCACTAAAGGTTTGGTAAAAGTCTTATAGCTTACTTTCAGGGCCAAATTTTAATTTTATAATACAGAAAGGATTGTGCTAATAGTACAAAATTGAGGCATCAGCAATTCTGTTGTTCTGTTCTTTGCAGGTGAATGTAGCTGCACTGTCATTGCTCCTCGCATTTAGCAGTAATCACTTAGCACAGGAAGACTCTGAATAGGTATGGCAAGCTTTTGCTTTGCCTTACAGCTTGCCTGTCTGACTTCACTTAGTTAACCTGGCACATCATTGCATGCTTTAGTCATTCAAACAGCGACAAGCAGAAGGCATCTTAACTTACTGTTGTGTGCTACATTCTTAAAATACCACTCTGTGTGTTTCAGAGCTCATCTGAATAACTGCATGAGACATTTTAGGAAACAAAGCTGAAGTTTTTGCAAGCAGATAGCAACATGAAAATGTAGAGATTAATAGCTTTAAGAATCTGGTCTTTTCTGTGCCATCCAGGAGCTGACCAGAGGCAATATATTTTGTGACCAAATGAAATAAACACATAGTGTTAGATTTTCCCAATTTTATATGGAAAAAGAAAATTACACAGGTGATGAGTACCACTTCAGCAGCACTTATGTTGGGCAAACAATTCATGGTGCTACAAATTCCGCTCCTTTTCACCTTTGCTCTGCATGTTTTTCATATACTGTCTCTGTGCCAATAGATTTGTATTTATAACAAGATGTGATATAGATGACAGCTGTTGCCAAAGAACATTTAATTAAATCATATCACATTGCATGTCTAGCTCTTCTTGCCTTATAGTAAGGTAATAGCATCACCACAGTAAGATGATATATTCCTTCAAATGAAAGTTCCTTTCAGGATACAGACTGATCGTTTGCATTTTTTGTATGATGCTCACAGTTCTTCCATTCTAAGGTGACTTTTAGAGGGTTGTCTGCTTTTCTCAGAGTCTCAAAAGTTACTTAGGAATTTGATAAGAAACATCTGAAAGTACATCTTCATGTACTTTTTTTAGAAAGGAAAGGAAAGGGTTTTGGCAGTTGAAGTTTCTGAACTTAGTTCTCTCTTTTAGAGAGAATTATTGTTCGAAGTTTTCTCCTTAGCAGTTCTGTAAACTTAAATAGCCTTAAGTAGGCAAACTTCATAGATTCAAATGTAGATAGAAATAATGGATAAGTCTTTTTCTCATCTGCCTTTCTGCCCGTTATAGTCTCTCCTCCTTAGATTATAATCTGTTATGGGAGGAAAAAAAATGTACAGTTCAATGTTATGCATTGTTCACTAAATTAAGAATAATGAAACTTTTATCAAAGCTGTTTGAATGTAACACTTTCAGCACAGGATTGATTTGAAAATTGAGAAATAAAGCAGTTGCAACAGAAGGACTATACAAAAATAGAGGAGGGAGTTATCTGGTACGAGGGTAATTTTTCAGAGTGGCACCTGGAGGAGTTGCTTGGGATAGCACAAAATTTCTACAAGAGAACCAGCAACTGTCTTGCTTTTAGGTGAGCTGTGTAGCAACATGGTAAGGCTGTAAGGGAACATAAGGGGATTCAGAAAATCAACCCAAAGACTCTTAAGGAAGCAAAGGGAGGAATTTGAACTGTATAGTTGGTGAAAACTTTGTGTTTTAATTGGTAGTCCTATTCAATTCATAATTTAGCTATATGAAACATTTATGCCTGGTTCTTAATTTTCATGCTATTTTAGAGAAGAATCTGGTTTCTTATTTAAAAAAAATTAAAATAGATCTAAGCTGCACATTTTACAATTATTAGTGTATAAAGGATAAAATTAGAGAACAGAGCATGTGTCCTGCAAGGCAGTTAACCTGACTTGCTTGCTTATTGATATTACTGGTGTTCAAAGCAGAAATCAGATAAATCTGCTGATGTTGTCTCACTCACTTCATGCTTCTGTGGGGAGAGGCTTGAGACATTTTCCCCAAAAGAAAGTGCTCTCCTCGCCTACTGCTGGTACAGGCATCCAAGTCTACATACTAAACATTTTGGGGCGGGGGGGAGGGAGTTGGCACTAACAGGAATTAAAACTTGTTTTGTTTCTTTGTTGGTAAAGGATTGACACTGGTTGTAGATTTTCTCAGGGTTTCTCAGATTTTTCTAACTCTGTAAATGTTAATAAAAAATAATGACAAAAACTAGACCAGTAAACGGCTCTATAGAGTACAAGTGAAGCTAGTAGAAAACAGAATTAAAAGTTTTTGAATTATCAGTAGTGTTAGTAATGCTTAAAAAAGGAAAGGAAATATTGTACACTCTATGGGAATTGGATGCAGGCTTTATGGGTGAAGATGCAGCTCAGGATTTTGGACTACTACAGCTCACTGGAGTGGTATAAGCCATTTTTGTCATTGGAAGCACTGGATAAATTACTCCTAACGTATTTTCAATCTTTGTCCTTTAAAGGATATAAAGAACTTGCAAAATACAATGAAATTGAAGAAGCTGTTTCTTTTCATTTTGTTTAAACCTGAGCAAAACTGCACTTTCCCCTCTGCAGTTGCTTTCCTCCCCCTTACTGTGCCATTAATTTGGAGGAGACAGAAAGACGGGGTGGTAACTTGGGGCCATCTCTGCTCTGCATGTCTTGGTCTGATGTGGGAGCTGGCAGCAACCTTGTTTTTGTTTCCCCCATGGCGAGTTGGAAGCTGTAAGTAGTGAGGGTTGTGGTATTTGTCTATGCAAGAAACTTGAACTACCGACTTAAGTTTATAGGGTTCTCTGTGCTATGTTCCTTCCTCCTGCTGCCTCTGAGGTTTTCTGTTTGGAAACAGTGTCAGCATCTCTCTCAGCAGCAAGGCAATGGGGGCGCTGAGTTCACAGGGTTGCCTCAAGCATCTGGATGGAAGCGGGTGTTTTGGAGTTTGTAGAGTTTGTGGAGTCAGATAACCTGTCGTTATTAGCTGGCACTGTGGGAAGGAGTACCCGAGAGATGGAAATAGTTTTATTTTGGATCAGAGCTGATGCTCCTTGGCTGCAGGCTCTGCTCCAGAGTTAATTTTCTGGCCTGGAGCAGCATATTGGAACCTGAC